CAAAGAATAGGCAATCCTCCGGCAGAGCCGGTGGGCGGAAGTGTCCCCGCATGTCCTCATTGTCACAGACTACCGTGCCCAGCCCTGGCAGTGCGTAAAGGATTCTCCGATTCTTGTCCCCACTGTCACAGACTGGCAACCTGAGTAGGTGCAGCCCTGACAGTGTGGCAACGATCTGCAGCTGCTGTGACGGGCTGCGCAGATGTTTGCAAATGCTACAGCTTCCCGGAGAAAGCGCCAATGAAATTTTGCGAAAGATCCGCCCGCGAGTGTGCCGCTAAAGTCCAGGTTCTCAGCCTGAGGCCCCCCCAGCATCCTCCAAGCTGCATCACCCTGTGTTGGTAGCTGGCACGAGGATGGGGTGAGTTGTGCCTGACTCTATTTGGCACAAGTGTCGCACAGATACTGCAAGTCATTTTCTGAGACTATTGACATGTTCCGGCTCATGTTAGCTAGACATGGTGGTAGGACCATGCTTCGCGATGAGGCCGCGAAAGATCCGCGAAAGATACTGTATCATTTTCCCCGCGAAGGAATGGCCATTCCAGGATGAAAGAATATTGATCAACCACCGCATACACACATCCATGCATACATACATGCATAGATCCATCGACTGATAGGTAGATAGATAGATGGATGCATACACGCGTAACATAGATGGATGGACAGGTACATACATACATAGATACATACATACATACAGACAGACAGACAGAGACAGACAGACAGAGACAGACAGACAGAGACAGACAGACAGAGACAGACAGACAGAGAGACAGACAGACAGAGAGACAGACAGACAGAGAGACAGACAGACACAGAGAGACAGACAGACACAGAGAGACAGACAGACAGACAGCCAGCCAGCCAGGCAGGCAGGCAGGCAGGCAGACAGACAGACGGACAGACAGACAGACAGACAGACTTACAGACAGGCTTACAGACATACTCACTTACACACATACATACATACTTACACACATACATACATACATACATACATACATACATACATACACACACCTACATACATACGTATACATACATACGTTTACATACATGCATACAGCTCTTCCATTTCTTTTGCTGTGCGTTTCACATCCTCTCTCTCCCAAGCAATGGCCTGCATCATGTTGTCGTTGTCGAAGCTGTGGGACGACCCTCCCCGTGGGTGTATTGGACTTTCGGCGCAATGCAGAGCGGGGTGATCCGCTGATAGTCAGCCTTCTCCAAATCCGGTCGGCAAGACAAGAAAAAACTCATTGCCCAGAGCTTGGAGGAGGTGGTTGTTGAGGGCAAACTCCAAGAGACAGCCCACAGATCAGGAGCCCAATGCAGGGCATGTGTCGCCAGGGTCTCAGTTTTGATATCATCCGGGGCAAGCTGGATGAAGTGTGCCATCAACTATACAGTGCAGGCTGATGAAGAGGTGCAGCCGCAGCCCATTCCGTGGCCATACCACCACCAAGGAGACCAGGGAGACTTCCTTCTGGCACAGGCACTGCAACCAGCTGCCAGGCACGCTCCATGTATCAACGCCTATGTACAGTGCAACATTTGCCTGCCTCAAGCGAGCCAGTCGAGCAACGATGGAAACGTTCCATGTATCAATCAAAAGCCGTTTGACCCCCGCGAAGATTTTGAAATCCCCTTGCAAAGGTCACTGATCCATCAGGACTACTTCTGCAGCGCGGGCACGGGAACACCGCCCTCAGCGAAACAGAGCCCAGACAAAGACATGGAAGGGCCAACGTCCGTGAGGAGGGAACTTCCCCTGAAGCCGTGGCAGGGGAAAACTAGCCTGGCGTGGAGGTGGACTTCTTCCAGACCCAATGAGGTCAGGGCGCACGCCTTTCGTGAGCGCAGCAGAAAAGAGCTGTCAAAAAAACATACCTACATACACGCGTGCGTGCATACACGCATACAGACAGACTGGCTCAAGCTGTGAGTGGTTCAAGGGGCGCCCGCAAACGGTCCCCGTAGCGCAGAATTCCCCACTCACCACGTGTGCCCTGCGGTCAACCAGGGCAATACCGTTTCAGCCTTGCGCCAGAACGCTGGACTTTGACCGCCAGGCTCTGACCCACCCAGTGCTTTGCACGAACCGCCACATGAAGAGCCATGGAGAGCACTGGGACACCATCAACTCTCCGGAAGAGGCCTTTGCTGAGGGTGGGAGCGACCCAGAGACTGAGCCCATGGAGGTAGACTTTTCTGGAGCAGCTGTTCTTCAAAATGCACAAACTTCGTGCAAACTTTAGGAAGATGCGTACCGACAGGTAGGCAGACGTGCAGTGACATACACACATACACGCATACATATGTGGGTGATAGATGTATACACATACAATAACTACATATATATACATGCGTACAAACACACATGCATACATACAGACAAGCATACATACATACATACATACATACTCACTCACTTACTTACTTTACATTACTCTACATTACATTACATTACATCACATTACCTTACCTTACCATACATACATACATACATACATGCACACATGCGTAGAAACATGCAAACATACATACATACATACATACGTAGACAGAGACACAGACACAGACACAGACAGAGACAGAGACAGAGACAGACAGAGACACAGACAGACAGACAGACAGACGGACAGACGGACAGACGGACAGACGGACAGACGGACGGACGGATGGACGGACGGACGGACAGACGGACAGACCGACAGACCGACAGACCGACAGACAGACAGACAGGCAGACAGGCAGACAGGCAGGCAGGCATGCATACATGCATACATGTGTAGAGAGATAGAGAGATAGATGTATATAATACAATTGAGTGCTTGCCAAGTGTTGCACAAGTGCGTACTTGTTCCAGATGTTAGATGTTGTGCTGCACCACACCCAGTTCGAGCCTCCTCCGCGACAACTCTTGGAGGAAGTGCTGGCGGCCCAGAGCTTTCCACTTGTTGAAGGAGGCCTATGGCAGTTTTGGACCTTCCCAAGGTCAAGAGCAAGTTGCGAAGTCCAGACCCAAGCAGTTTGGAGCACGTTTACCAATTCTTGAATTTGAGTTTGCAACAGAAATGTGTCCCAGCATGCGCACCAGGCCCAAAAACAAGTTTTCGCGCCACTCTGACGCAAATCAATGCAAGTCAGACGGTGGCAAAGGGCAGATTTTCCACCATGTGATTACTGTAGCAAACTTGTTCAACGTTTGATTTACGCCCCAGTCGTTCCAAGAAACTGGTTCCTCAAATTGTTTCATTACAATCCGGCAGGCTTTGGGGTTTGAAGTCCTTTGAATGCCAAGTGCTGACACTGAACTCTCCAGGTGTGACCAGGAGGAAGCAGAACCTGTCGGTGGAGAGCTCCAGCAGGTTGAGGACATTCGGACATGATCACCTTAAACAACTGGTGGGAAATTGATGGTCGAATTGAAGCGGTTTGGAGCCACCAAATCTTTGCATCTCCTGCCCCTTCCAAAGAACGGATGCTTACAAAGCTCAAGGATGTGAGGATGTTGTGTTTGAGCAGAACCATCAGCTATCAGTCTAGTTGAACGGTGCCGTTTATTGTTCACGAACCTGCTGCCTATTTTTTGCTCATGTTTGCTCTGGATCACCTGTGTGGCTCGGCTCCCTCATTGTGGAGGAAGTGCCTTTGTCTTGCGTGGAGTGGTTGGTGAGAGATTGTATGTTGACGTCTAATTATAATTGTTGCTTATGCACCTTTGGGGGCTTGATAATGCCATTTGACATCAACTCTTTGCTTCATTCACCTAAGTTACTTTCTTTGCATTGTGATTGGTGACTTCCCTCTATTGTGCTTCCTTTAGTATCTTTGTTTCGCATCCTGGACTTGACTTCTCCACCCTCTTCTCGCTGTTCCCTGCCAAACCACACTGCTTAAGGGCCTTCCTAAGTGGATCTTGAAACGGTGTCTGACTGCTCCTTTGCCGCGTGGTTCTCATCGCATAACCGCCTTCCTTGCCAATGAAACCTTTGTGGTCTTTCTGCAGTGTTCGCCTCTTGACTCATATACTCAATTGTTGAGTGCTGTGTGCCAAAATTGTTGCAGCCCTCAGGTGATAGCTCGAGTTGATAGTGGCAATGGAACGAAGGGGGTGTGGGGGCGGACGGTCGTTTGAACACACTGTGGTGAATTCAGTGGGCTGGAATGCGGCTTTTTCACGGAGAGGAGAAATCTAAATGATGCTCATGTCGCAACACAATTGGAATGGGTTCGTGGTGGACCTGTGACGAGCAGGATGAGCGGCTCGATGCACAGGTTCGGGGCGGAACTGGGAGACCCTGGAAAGACTGATTTGGCAAACCGGCTGTTCATTCTCAAATTCGGGGGCCTTTTGACCCCGATCCGATAAAGCTGACGTGTCCCGCTAAAGGGCTGTTGCAGACGGATGTTCTTGCCGTAGCAATTGCAGGAGTCTTCGGTTGGTTTGGAAGCACCTGGGCGTGCCGCGCAGAGCCTCACCCAGCCTCGCTCTGTTTGATTTGCGATCCGAAACCCAAAGTTCAATCACCCAGGAAAACACCGACACGCCGTTCTTCCAGAACGCCTCAGGTCAGCAAATTTACAGGATTGCAGGATTGCGTAATGCCACGCAGAACAGATTCAATACGAACAAGTTGAGCGTGAATTGCATTTTGAGGCCTCATGCGAGGGGCAAAGGCCTCGTTGGCGCTGAGAGGGAATTCACTCTCCAGCCACCGGGATCCGTAGGGGGCCTTTCACTTTTGAAAAAGTGCAAGTCTGGCAAGCAGCTGAGATTTGTTCCCGATGCGAATGTGGAAGGGCCCCTCCGGGTTGCGAAATATTTTCCACCCCAGCATTTGGTTGAGCAATCTTGCCCAACATCGATGCAGTGGGGCTTTGAAGAGGTCATTGCCAAAGGCATCTCCTTGAAATGGTGTGACCGGTACCGTGAGACCAAAGTTGAGGGGGGGGGCAGGGCAAACAACAAATCAGATTGATAGCTGCAGGCTGGCCCACGCCGACTTTGGGCTCGTGATAGCTGGAATGTCGAGGTGGTTGTTGGCAACACAAACAGTACTAGCGTGGCACTTGTTACTACTAGCGTGGCACTTGTTACTACTAGCTTCTTGTTGCTGGGTCAACAGGAGCTCCGGATCAGCGACATCATGTCCAGATCCATGGAATCTGAAGGCCACGACACACAGTGAATCGATGTCCAGATGATTCGCATTTGGAAGGTTCTGAGCTGATCGATCCCGGGCTTGAAGAAGAAGAACTGCAAGACATGCTTCTGGAACTATACAGTGAGGCGTGCTATTGAATTGCACACAGCTGGGATGGGTTTGGTTTTTCAATCAGTTCGGTGCGTGAGGACACTGATGCAGATTCTGTGCGGTGGACCTTTCAGTTGGCAAGTCGTGGGAGTCAAAGGCGACGTTACACTGATGTTGTCGTGTTGGTGTCTGACAGTGCTGCAATGGTCGCAGGTGTACCAGCACCAGACGCACCCCAAGAGCATCCAAAAATTTCACAAAACCATTGAATGATTCAATGTGCGGAAAATTGAATTGACCGTTTTCTGTATGCTGAAGGCAACCTCCATTATGCGTTTCGCGCTCATCACTATTGCCATTTTTTGCCGCAGGCACATGCTTTGAATGGAGCTTAAGGAGGCCCTTTGTTGTGAAACCCATAGCTGTGCTGGTTTCAGGAGATCATGAGAACCTTGGCAACCACCAATGTTTGGATCTGAAAATGCGGCGCTCGGCATCGAAACATTGATGATGCTTGAATTATATATATGTCACGAGGTTGCTTCCAGCGGCGCAGTGGACTCTGCTTTGCTTCAGCAGCTTTTAGAAGATTTGAATGATGGCCAGAACCTCAGCACAAAGGTTTGGCCACTTGAGCAGTTGAGCTTTCTGCCAAATGCCAACATAGAAAGTTGCAGCAGTTGCATGGAGTTTGCAGGTTACACAGTTCCAGCTGCAGAGGCAAATGTTTCAGTTCACTCGTTTCTTTAAGCTGGACACCTTGGAATATTTACATTTTAAATTTCCTTTTGCAATTCTACGGTCCTCAAGGCTTAGTGACTTCGTAGAGACTTCGAGTGATGACTGTGAGGTGAAGGCTGTTTTGGACGAAGCAGATGCACTGGCCGCTGCTGGAGGGTCTGGCAGGGCATCCTTGCTTCGTGCGATCTCTGCCTGGTGACCTCCCCAATGTGCAGGATTGCAAGTGAGTGCAAAGGCCTCCAACCTAAAAGCGATGGCCTCCAACCTAAGAGCGATAGCTTCCCTAGAAGGAACGGCCTCCAACCTAAGAACGATGGCCTCCACCCTAGAAGCAACGGCCCCCAACCTAATTGCAAAAGAATTGGCGGTGGAAGGTTTTCAACCTTCAGGTGATAAGAGCAGCAGTTATCACCCCTGCTTCAAAAAGATACTTTGTATCTGTTCTGGGAAGACTGTGCGGATCTGCATTCTTTTCAGTTCACTGTTTTTTTTCTACGTTCCGTTATTTTGGCAGCTCCAGAATCCTGAGGGAAACTTAGCCGGTCATGGCAAAGGTTGGTCTGGAGGGCAAATTGCGGCAAATTGTAGTGGGCACATACGTTTGAAGTGACAACTCCTGTTTCTTAGCTCTTGATCAGCAAAACGTACTAAATATCAAGCATGCACATCTCATCGTTCAACTTGGACATTTGATGATATTTATTTGATGTATATACATCGATACATTTATTAGGATCCATTGAATGGAACTTCCATTCAGTTCAGGAGGTGTTTGGATGAAGATAAAGAGCGTGACGGAAGGTGACGGTGCACTTTTGTTGCCCAGACATTGAGGTCTTGGCCTGACCATCCTGTCTTACCCAAACGCGAACCGGTACTGTGACTTGTGTTGTATTATACAATGAGTTTTCCTCCTCAGTCCGTGTGACCGTAGCTGTTCTTCAGAAGCTTTTCGCAGCATTCCACAGCAAGTTGGGGATGCATCCAACGGGAAGAACCTTCGCTGTAATGAATTCTCACCGTCTTGTTTGCATACTAGATGCCGCTCTATGAGCCTTCTTGACGGTGAAACCAAGCCAGGACAACAGGCACAGTGAAGTAGAAGAATCGCAGTGTCAAGCCATCCGCCCTCTAAGACAACCAATTTGAGCACCACGCCTTCACAAGCTGCCTATACAAACTATACAACCACTTTAAGATGACAGTCCTTTTTGGGCCGATGTGGTGCAACCTTGCCAAACTTGGCTTTGCCGGTTTTCAACTTGTTTCCATGTTGCTGTATCTGACATCTGAGTAATGGAACGCAAGCCTGGTGCCAATTTCTACAGGACTGGCTTTGGCTTCATGTTTTTTTCCAAAATAGTGGCAGGGCTGGTGTGGCCTAGATCCAAATTTCCGATGGTTTACAGACTGCCAGATCACAGAGCATTGCACACGTCATTCCAAACCTGGGTTCCATCTTTGGAACATTTGGTTCAGCAGTGATTAGCAGTGTAGCCAAATCTCAAGAGTCATGAGTCATGAGTCATAAGTACAATCGAGAAGGAGAGCGCTCGGTGATGACCAAACCGGGCTTCCTTGTCTTGTGGCGGCTGCATAATTACTTCAATTGATCTTGGAACCCGTTGTCATTTGTTTTCTCTACAGGTACCTCAATGTGGTCAGGAATGACTCGTTCATCTCCTCAGCACTAGGATTTGAAAAGGGAAGCATGAAACAAATTGAGATGTTTGCAAGTGATTGAGGCCTTGGTCGACTACGCTCAAGGCATGCTATGGTGGGTACCTTGTGGTTTTGCTGCTTGTGTTTGACGTTCTGCGTGTTTGTCTAGATGAGGTCGGTGGATTCCAAAGAAGGGCTACCACCTTGAGGCGCAAGCTCAGCACGACAAGTATTGAACTGCTTTCCCTCAATTCCTCCCCAGGTTTTTGGCCGGCTTCGTTCGTCCATTGTCAATGCCAATGAGGTGTGCAAGTGAATAAACACTTCATGAACTCCGAACACTTGAAGACATGCAGCATCAAGCCCACCATTTCGTCCAACAAGACAAGAGTGTTTACAAGAGGAGGCAAAGACTGCCAAAATGCAGAGGGCAAGGGTTGTTGTTGCAGGGCAAGTTTCCGATCTTTTCCTGCAACCTTTTTGAGGCTTTTCACGAAGAACATAATCCCGACAGTGCGGGTCAGGCCTGAACAAAAACAAAACAATAATAGAGTCCGTTTGTTGAAGACCCCAGTTTGCTTCGCCAGTGTGTTTTTCCGACCGAGGCAGTTTGGTTCTTAATCCAGGCAGCGATATTCCTTGTAGCGTTCAGAGCTGAAATCCACGTTCTGTATTTTCCAAGTAGTTAGCATGTCAAGTTGTGCTTCCAGCTTTCAAAGCTTTCAAGCTGGGAGATGTAAGGCTGGTGCTCCCATTTGGCTTCTTTCTTTGGCTCATTGTTCTGGGTTTGCTGCCAAGTGGCCCCGAAACTTGAATGAACTCTTGAAGCTGCCACGTGAGGTGCAGAGCATGGGGACGACCGGTGTCCCAAGGCGATGAATCTTTGAGCTCCTTTTGCAGCGTCGTGCGCATGCACCCTTTGCTCCTAGTAGCGTCCTTGTTCCTAGTAGTACGGCCAGGAGCCCCTAGTAGCGTTCTTGCTCCTAGTAGCCGTAGCGCTGCCCTTTTGCTCCTAGTAGCGAACCTTGCTTTGTCTACAGGATTTGGATGGGCTTATCACATGGTTTGGTAGCCTTGGCAAAGCGCCCAAGTTGCGCCCGAGCATGCGACATATGAAACAATGAAACAGAAGCAAGCATGCAACGCAGTTGCTTTTACCTTCGCGGAATTGCATCAGAGATGCAACCTAGGTTTGGCCAGCTTGGTGGTTGGATGGCTTGATGAATCCTTGATTGCCCAATCAGAAGATCAACTGGTGAAAGTCATGACCTTGGCGTCTTGCTTGATTCGACCTGCATCACATTCCTCATCAAGGGCGGTCTTAATCACACACGGTTTTGGACTTACTTACATGTGTCGCCGCCGAATGAGACTATCCTAGTTTTCCTCCTTTGACATAGCCTCTCATTTAGCTGCAGTTGGAGCTGTGCTAGAAGTTTTGCAAGGTATCACACCAGTTTGACAATCACTGTGGCGAGTTTAATGTTTAAAGTGAATTGTTGGAAGATGAAGGCTCGAGGATTAACGAATTGGTAACGACATTGCTCAGGCTTCAAGCATTGGGTTGGCGCTGAAAGTAGCTTGAGACCCAGTGGACGTTGCTCTGAGGAGGAACAATGAGGGAAACACAGCTTTGGGTCAAGCCGAGGTGCTTCTCATAATGCCCTGGGTGGGAGCTTTCTGGACATTTCACCTTGCAAGCAATGCTAGATTGCCCAGTCTTGAGCGCTTCGATACCGAGTTTGTCGGCAATGATTTCTTTCCGGTCCCTTCAGCATCTCACCTGTCTTGAGGACCAGCAAACCTGTGGACTCTTCCTGACTGGAGCCAGTTCCCTCCTTTGGCCGTAGCCTCAACTGGCTCCACTGTCTCTCAGTTTCTTGTGATTGTTGTTTCTTCCAAGCTGCTTTGAAGGGATTGAAATGAAAGAATGGCCCTTTAGGACAGTGCTGCTCATTGCCGAGCTTGCCTTCGGCCGCATTCTTGGCATGAAAGCGCCTCCACAAAACAGCAACTAAGACAATCGGTAGTAGACCAGATGGAGAAGGTTGAGACACTGTAAGTTTGTTGCAATTTTGCTGTTGCATTCTTCATTTTGCTTCCATTGTGAATGTAGTAGTACTACTACTTGGTTTACTCCCCTGAGTCACTGAGGCGTAGTTTTTCCACTGTTCTCGATGCTTTCACCTCAATCCAGTAAACAGGATGCGCAAATCTTCTCCCTGCCTTTGTCACACCAGAATCACCAAACCACACCCGAGGCGGGTAGACTGCAGGGGGGTTCGGAGAGGTTGGGTGGTAGAAAGTATGTACATGTAGCTGTGTAGATAAGGTGTAAAGATGTATATATATATATA